GCCTCAGCAGGACCGAACACTGCCGGGGCAGCACCGAGCCCCCGTCCCCCTGGACCCTGCCCGTGCCGGGCACGAGGCAAGATGCCGACAACCCGCTGCCTTGGTTCAAACTTCGGCAATTGCTCCCGTGCTTTAGCGGCCACGCACGGGCAGGAGCAGCACCGACACTGCCTGGCACCTTTTTCTTCTTTACTCCGTTTTCCCCATTTCAGGCAAACGCCCCGGTTTGAAGGGAAAACTTCCTCGGTGTGTGTGAACGCTGTAAGTAGCACTTCGGGCTGAGAAATCTAATTAGCGGATTTAGTCTATCTGCAGCAAAATAAGGCTCTTTAGAGATCTAAAAAGCCTGGCAAACGGCCAAGACTCACTAAAAATTTAATTTGATTTTAACAGGCATGAAGCATTTGTAAAATTAAGAAAATCCTTTCTAAACTCTCCGGCTACTTGATCTTTCTGATCACTCAGTTTAGGGCAAAAGAGGAAAAACCCACAGTGCTCGTGTGCTAATTGAACTCCTGAGCTTTTATCCTCCAAGCAGCCCGGCAGGCTCAGACGGGAGATGCTCCCGGTCTCCCTGCGTGTCTGGAAACACACGCGTGACCACGAGCCCAAGGCTCCTTCGATGGAGTCCATCGCCTTCTCCTGGTCTGCCAAATCGACACCGAGAAAGTGCCACGTTGATGTTTAATGGGAGGAACCTTCAGTCTGGACTGGAACTCCTGGAGAACGGGTGCATCGCCTGGCTCCACCGGCTCCTCCGTGGGACTAGTGCGAGCCCCGGCACAGCCCGGTTGTGCGGAGCGGGCTCGTGGTCCCAAGCACATCATGGACGTGCCCTGGTGCCACGGGGGGCATTTACCTGCCCAAGGACAGGGACGGAGGACTGCCCATCAGCAGTGTCGGTGCTCCTGAGCAGCCAACGGCCCCAGCCCCGGCTCTGCCTGCGCGTCAGGGACACCAGCTCCCTGCCTGCCTGCCTGTCCCCGTGGCACCCAGCCCCGGCTCTGCCGGGCTCGTGCTCCCGGGAGGACCCGGCGATCCCCGCTGCGAAGACGACTCTGGCCCCGGTGAGGCAGAGCACGCACCCACGCCGCTGCGTTTCACCGGGGCTCTTGGGATGGGAGCTCGTGCTTAAGGCTCCCGGTCGCTCACACAGCACCTGAGACAAAGCCAAGCAGGCGCTGGCGATGCTCAAGGTGGTGCTGGGAAGGATGAATTTTGCATACACACCTGCATCTCCCTGACGCTGCTGGGGTGGTAGTACTCGCTGTGCTCGGAGGCCAGCAGCGCCTGGCACAGGTTGAACTTCTGGAAGTCAAGCAAGGAGGAGCACTTCTCGTCCGGGATCTCCTCCTTCGCCATCCAGTAGACGGTGGTGAGGATGGCCACCTTCGCCGGGTTCACCTCCACCTTGATGACCGAGCGCAGCTCCGGGTGGCCGTGGACGTGGGTCTCGAATGCCAGCTGCTCCCGGTTCACCGCCAGCGCCTGGCGGTGCGCGCCGGAGGTGACGTGCCGCAGCAGGGCATGGCGCTGGAAGTTGTCCGTGCCCACGGTAAAGGCGTTCTCCGCTTTACCGTGCTTGTTCTTCACCAGCGCCTGCCGACACTCTATGCAAAACATGAGTTTCCTCTCATAGTCAAACTCCAGCCAAGTAAATTCTTCCTTCCAGTGCTCATTGAAATAGCGCTTACACTTTTTATTGGAATTGGAAGTTTCCCCAGCTGGCTTTTTCCCTGGAGGCACCATATTGCTGTGGCTGGGAAATCAAACACTACGGTTGAACTGAAACGTGCCTTGGAGGAGCAGCCTCTACATTTAATTTAGTAAGAAGGTCTATTACAACTCTCCTGGTTTGACTGGAGATGAAAGAGACACAAGGGAAAGGGATTAGGGCCCTGCAAACCTCAGCCTCTGCTCATCATTTAGTCTTGCCTGCTAACGAAGAGCTGCGGCGGCGCGGTGGCGGCGCTCAGGGCAGGCAGGGCTGTGCGACAGCCCCGGCACCGCGCGGGGGGATCCCGCCGAGCGCCTCACTGGTGTCACTGGCAGGTCCTGGCGGGCGCCGGGGGGGCGCGCCACGCC